TGTGCAGTGTGAATGTTTGTGAGTGTTGAGTTTGTGTTGTTTCTTTGTGATGAATTGTGGTGTGTTGCGTTGTTTGACGTTGTGTGGTGTAGTGATTGTTTGAGTTTGAGAGGTGAGTAGAGAAGTGAGGATGTTGTGTGATAAATTGAGTGGTATAGTGTAATGTGGTGTGGTGTGGTGTGGTGTGTGTTATGTGTGTGTTGTGTTGTGAGTTGTGTTGTGTTGTGTTGTGATGTGTTGTGTATTTGAGTGAGTTGTGAGTGAGTGTGATTTGTTTTTGTGAGGTTGTGTGTGTTAGTTGATGTGTTGTTGTTGATGATGATGATTATGATGATGATGGTGATGATGATGATGATGAGTATTTTGTTGATGGTGATGATGAAGATGAAGAGTTGTATGTTGTTGTTCCCATAAGCGCAGATTCGCTTTTGCGTTGTCTGTCGTCGCAGTGGGAACTATAGAGAGGAGGGATCTCATTGTGGGTGAGATGGCGATGTTGCCGTTTCAATGTGGGATCTGACAGTGGTGTGTTGATAGAGAATGAGTGATTGATAGATTGATGAATATGTGTTAGTGTGTTTGATGTGTTGTGAGTATGGGTGTGTGGGGGTTGAGTTGAGTTGTGTTGAGTTGAGGTTATTTGTTGTTAGGTGTTGTGAGTTGAGGTGAGGGGTTGGTGATGTTATGGTTTTTTGAGGTGAAGTGATATGAGTATGTAATGGAGTGTATTTGTTGAGTGTGAATTGTATGAGTGATGTAGGTGTTGTGTTGTTGATGTGAGTTGTGAATGTTGGTTGTTGTTGAATTGTGATTTGTGTGTGTGTGTGTGTGTTAGTGAGTATTGAGATTGTTGATTGATTGATTGGTTGGTTGTTGATTGTTGTTGTTGTTGTTGTTGTTGTCGTTTGTGTAGTATTGTGTGAGTGGTGGTATTAGTGTTATTGTGTGATTGTTGGTTGTATTTGGTGTGTTGTGTTTGTTGTATTTGTGTTTTGTTTTATTGTTTTGGTGTTTGTTGTTGTGTTGGATGTATTGAGTGTGGATTGTGAGTTGGCGAGACAGGTTTTGTAGGTTGTATGTGGGAATTGAGTTGGAGTGTTTTGTTTTTGTGGGTGGTTGTTGACTGATGTTAGTAGTGCAGTTGTGTAGTGTGAGTGTGTTGATGATGTAAGGGAATTGTGCAGATGTCATGAAATTGCATTGCTCTAGAATTACTCTGATATTGTGATGTGTATTTTACGATTGACTAGTGATTGAGTGTTGAGTGTAGTGGTGGATTGTGTTAACGTTGTGTATGTGTTTGTGTTTTTGTACACTTTGTGCAGGTTTCTGTGGTTGAAGACGCCGTTGTTTGGAGCGTTTGTTTTTGGAAGAGAGGTAGGTGAAGATAGTTTATATGTGGTTGATGTGTGTTGTGCAGTGTGAATGTTTGTGAGTGTTGAGTTTGTGTTGTTTCTTTGTGATGAATTGTGGTGTGTTGCGTTGTTTGACGTTGTGTGGTGTAGTGATTGTTTGAGTTTGAGAGGTGAGTAGAGAAGTGAGGATGTTGTGTGATAAATTGAGTGGTATAGTGTAATGTGGTGTGGTGTGGTGTGGTGTGGTGTATGTAGTGTGTGTTTGTTGTGAGTTGTGTTGTGTTGTGATGTGTTGTGTATTTGAGTGAGTTGTGAGTGAGTGTGATTTGTTTTTGTGAGGTTGTGTGTGTTAGTTGAGGTGTTGTTGTTGTTGTTGATGATGATGATGATGATGATGATGATGATGATGAGTATTTTGTTGATGGTGATGATGAAGATGAAGAGTTGTATGTTGTTGTTCCCATAAGCGCAGATTCGCTTTTGCGTTGTCTGTCGTCGCAGTGGGAACTATAGAGAGGAGGGATCTCATTGTGGGTGAGATGGCGATGTTGCCGTTTCAATGTGGGATCTGACAGTGGTGTGTTGATAGAGAATGAGTGATTGATAGATTGATGAATATGTGTTAGTGTGTTTGATGTGTTGTGAGTATGGGTGTGTGGGGGTTGAGTTGAGTTGTGTTGAGTTGAGGTTATTTGTTGTTAGGTGTTGTGAGTTGAGGTGAGGGGTTGGTGATGTTATGGTTTTTTGAGGTGAAGTGATATGAGTATGTAATGGAGTGTATTTGTTGAGTGTGAATTGTATGAGTGATGTAGGTGTTGTGTTGTTGATGTGAGTTGTGAATGTTGGTTGTTGTTGAATTGTGATTTGTGTGTGTGTGTGTGTGTGTGTGTGTGTTCTTTAAGCGTTCCGCCCATCTTTCAAGTTGTCCACCATGCCTACCTCGATGTGCAATATTGGTTGAAATAGAAATATGTTGAAAGAAAGCTCCAGTGGCCAAACCAAGACACGGTTCTACTGCTTGAAGTTTCTGACTGTTGGTTTGAATCATGCAGGGGGATGCAGACTACCTGGTTGAGTCATCTAGGCGCAAGGAATCAAAGGTTGGGGTTTTTTTGTGACAGTAGAAAATAATTCAGAGTGGTTTTGATTGATTCTTTCTTCGACGTCTTCTAAAGCTTGATTGTTATCACTGACTTCTATTTTGAAATTGTTTCTGCTATGCATCTTTATCTTCATTGTAATCACTCTTTCTCTACCAATTTGTTCTTTGCATGCTGCTATGAAACATGGTTACTTGAAGGGATGCATTTCTGTGCGAGATTATATGTTGGTTTTTGCTTCCAGTGTACTCACAATGTTTCTGTTATTTTTACTACTACTGCAGACAACAACAGATATTGAATTACAGAGTAGGTAAACATGCACAATTTATTTTCATTAACTATTTGTCAATCGTAACTCGTGAATAATACGTAATTCATTGGATTTGATTAAGTTTTGACAGGGGAATTAGGCTAATCAATTACATGTACCACACCATTATTTTCCTGTTACTTGTTAAAACTTTGATTAAGCTACAACGGGTTTTTAAAGTTCTGTACCAAATCGGTGAGAAAACATGGAAAAAGTATTGGTCTAAAAATGCATAAATATTGGGAGTTAATTTGATGACATAATCAGGTTACACATATTAAGTGCTTACAATTTTAATTGGTCGCTGTGTTATTTCCATACTTCTCTGAAGAAATCAGATCTCTGAATACGTTTTAAAGTTTTCAGAATAACTCTTATATTACTGTCTCACTGAGTGTGACTGGAACAAGACTCTCTTGTATTTCATTTCAGTGTTTGCACAAAATTATGAGATCGTAATCGGTTCGTACACTTTCAGCCTGTTATAGCAACCTATTGTCAGAGGCGTTAACCGTCGTATCTTAATTTTTTAAAAACTATTTCAGTATGATAGTTTCATTCAAATCAAAATATTTTGCAAGCTAATTTTCAAGAATTGTCGTAACATGAACATCATCATCACGAACGTTATTCTAAGAACAACATTGTACCCCAGTGGCTTAGCGGATAACGCTCCGGCACTCAAAATTAAGGGTACTCGATAGAGGCGTCAGGGGGGACGGCATCACTTGAGGTGTTTGATGCTGTGTAGCAGCGGGGATTTACAGGTGTCGTAGCAACAATAGTATAGGTAGGTTTTAGGGAGGAAGCGTAACCAAACTGGATGTTAAAGACATGAATAAGGATTTCTTTCTCAGGATGGGTTTTGATAAGCTAAAGAATTTCAAAAAAGGTACAGATGGCAAAAAGTGTTTCAAAAAAATTCTTATAAAAGCAATTTTTAAGAATAGAGGGCTAAACGCAGGATGGAGAATTCTACAACTGATGTTGAAATTTATTACTCAACTAGAAACATGTAGGATGTGATTAACAAAGTGAAACAGTCTTATTTACTGGATTAATCAGATTTGTTTATCACGATCGTTGAGTTGCGGTCATCTGATTCGGTAATTACCATATTAGAGTCATTCCGAAGGTTCTTAAGACCTTGCCTTTCTAGTTTGAGAATATTTACGTTTATTTTCTTCTGTTGTTTTAGTTTTCGTGCACAATGTACTTGAACCTTTTCTGCGACTTTTTTTTCATCTATTGAAGACGTCTGCGAGCTATTTAGAGTGAGCTAATTTAGCATTTAACAATAAACACCGATGATTCTTTTCTCGATTTCGCTATATTTTCCTACTTAATACTTTCTCTTGGATTCATTTTATGTTTTCAGTTTTATACTACTTGGTAATAATAAGTGGTATAATTAAAATACTTTTACTCAGTTGCTTTATTCATGGGTTCAGTTTTGCTGAAATCGTGGTTTCTTTATGACTTTATGTAGCATTCTAGAACATTTTATTATGCACCATTCCAATATTTCAATGTTAGCACTTCTTTTTGTTTACCATAGGCCTTTTACACATTTTTGACAGTTCTGTTCATGGTTTGCTTCGGATAGAACTCTGCTATTTATTTTGTTTGTGCGTTTCATCCCAAATGCTTTCGATGGCGATAAGTTCATATATACCCAAAGACTTAAGGTTATAGTTTATTATTCATCATTACTGTTCATTGACACATTACCGTATTCTGTAAAAATCTTCTTTTTAGAATTTTTTGAGTCACGTTTCATGTTTTTACTCAAAAATTCACAATAATAAATGATAATACGAGATTCATGATCCACATTGTTCAGTGCAATCAGTATGTGAATTCAGTAACTTTCAAGTTCGTAGCAATTTCAAGGTATTTGCCAATGATATCATGATCATTCGGAAATTCTTTGAAATCTCGATCTGTTAGAAGAACAGCGGATTTTGTGCAGTGACTTCTACTACTTATATCACTATGCTATTCAGTTTTGGATGCACTAAACTTGTTTGAAATTATAATTTATGAAATTCTCCCTCCTACATCATCAATTAGATTCTGTCAGAGCTGGTATCTTATTAAAGATTATCATTACAGTGGTCGATAGATGAAAATACTATTAGATATTGATGGGTAATTAATCTTCATGAACTTAAAAGTTTTTGTTTACATGAATAGGATACAAACATCTGTTAAAACCATTGTTTATACTCACTTCAATAATTTATTGAATTTTTCGAATTTTAATGGCTTTTCTGATATGTGATTCATCCTTCCTCCATTTTTCATTATACTTTGACGAGGGACTGGAGTAACTGTGAAACCAGCTGTTCTCAAGTGATCAATAATGGTCTCTCCATTTCCAAGAAAGTGTGCTGTAAGTTGAAACGAAGAAATTTATGCTTAAAACGCTTCACTATACGTAACAAAGTCTTCAAACCCAAGCTGGAAAACTTAATTGTCATGGGTTTCATCCCTTACGCAGTTGTGGAGATGCAATATTGGGGAGTTTCAAACTAAGATGAAACCGGTATCCAGTATTCCTATATTTCCATCAATTATCTAACTGATATAAAATAGAAAAGTTTGAACTTGCGATTCCCTCAGATACTGCATATGAATGCAACTTACTTACTGGAACTATTTACCGTGGGAAATTTACACATTGTAACCGGTATCCTAAAAAGTTTCTGAAACGATGATATTTTGAAATTAACTGTCATCAAATTGTATGTGACGTGTTTGGTATTTATGCATTCCAGTTTTAAATTCTGTGGTAGATACTATCTCATCGACTTCTAATGTAAAAAAAGTTTCATGATTTTAAATTTGCTGAGAAAACTGGCCTGGTCTGCAGTCAACATAATGAATCGGGATTGAGATTAGTTTCCTAACCCTACTGCTCTCTAGATGTGAGTAGGAGCTGATTACCGTGTTTATGCATTAGTCTTTGAGACTGATCATAAATGAACGTTTTAAATATGATGTGAAATTATATGGGCTGTGTAGTTATCTAGACCTACTGGTCCTCTCAGCCTAAATATTTTCTCTCTGAGTGAGTCTGTGGGCTAAAATATTGTGTTGATTCCAGTAAGGTCAACAATCCTACATAGATTTTCTGATGTCCGTTCTTCAAGTGGCAACACTACAGAGGATTTGAATTCCCTGTTAGGTAGGTACAATTACTATTATTTCTCTCTCTCTCTCTCTCTCTCTCTCTCTCCATCTTATTTACTTGTGGTTTGTCATAGTGCCTAAAACTGATAAACTTAGTAGGATGTGGTAGTCAGATTCACAAACCGGGTTACCTAGTTAGACAGATAGTTAACTAATGCCTTGAAGAAGGGACATCAGAAAATCTACGTGGGATCTTGACATTACTGGAATTAGCACGGTATTTCTCACTCAGAGAGAAAACATATAGGCTGAGAGGACAGTAGGTCCAAATAACCAAAATAACCGAACCTATCAAATATCATGTAGGGATTGTGAGGTCAAGTAAGTGGGTGACAGTAGCAGGTCAAGGTCAGTCAGGATAACGTAGCAGAAACATTTAGCTAAATCTAGAATGATAGACCTTACTAAGACAATTAATCTTCTGCCGCTGTTCGTTCACTGACTCATAATCAGATTATGGAGTGGGACAGTGTCGGTTTTAAAATCCAATATAGCCAAGAGGATAGACCTATTAACTACAGAATCTTTGTTCATTAAATCATCACCTAACACATGTAACAGGAATGATTCATCGTACATTCCAGGTATTTGTAAAAGTTTACTGCCATTGCAGTGAATGTATGAAGAAGTGTTGGACTACAGAAAGGAATTTTCAAAATTGTTAGGTCAGGTCATCTAGTAAATAATGGTCTGCCCATGTATAAGATATCTAATAAACGTTGTCATATTGAATTTTACTCGAGTAGACGACATTGATCATATTTCACTCTTGTTTACATAGCATATTGTTTTTCGTCGTTTAAACCTTCTCATAACCTCGAGAAACAGAAAATATTTAAATTAATGTTTATTTTCAAGTAAAGAGGTGAAATTACACTGCTGTTGTAATGCAGTTCCTAGAGATGTGCATTATATCTAAGTTTTTGAAGAAGTGACGACTTTATTGCACATAATGTTTATTCAATGAGACTTTTTGAAATGGTTTAAGCGTAAAAACTTAGGACTCTAAGTTAAGTCTATTTTCGACTTTGCAATCACAAATATTTGATTTCATAGATTATTTTGCTTAGCCTCAAAAATAGTATGTCAGATTTTAACACCAGGTATTTAGTATTATTAGAGTGACTACTATAGCCTAATGATTTAAAATAAATATCATAAAGCTTTGTATCGAAGAAATATGGAAGGGCAACAGAAATGCTGAGGTACACTTTTTTACCATAGAGTTATTCCTGTAAATGGAAAACTGGCTAGCCTAAGCTTTTTAAATTTCTCAATGATACTGAATAACTTGAAGGCATCGGACTGATGATTTGTGATTCATCTGTTGAGTATAAACACTTTTTCAAACATGGATATCAGTATTCTTGTTATTCACAAAATCTATTGGAATGCTCTTCAAAATCCTACAACCCTGAAGTTGTCTATTATTAGCGTGACTTCGGTGAGACATTATGGAAAGGAGATTATTGCCACTTCTCAGAATATTGCAAAGCACGCTGTCAATTTCTTATAGTTTTACTCATTTATTTGAATAACACATATTATGGTTTAAGCTTTTTGAAATTCACTAGATATTATATTAATTTTAACTTGAAGATAATGAGTGGAGTGATTGATACATGAAGTTCAATCCACTTACCTGCGCCTAACGCAAAAAATGCTGACTGATTCAATTTCTCAGCAAGTTTTAACTTGTTGATTATTTCTTGTGCCATACGTTCATTACGTTTTACTATCAATTCTTCGTTTAAGTAATTCTCCAACTCAATTAGTGTTTGAATTTGACTTGAAGTAAGTACTTTTGTAATTTCTGCGTCAATAAAGTAACCTGATGGTGGTATTGATGATGAATTATTCTGGTTGTTATATTGTTTAGTGATACTGTTTATTTTTTCAATGTTGGCTTTTTCAGTAGGATTACTTGATCCCTTTGTCATTATAGCAGTGATATTATGCGTGTCAATAGTAGGTACAGTTGTTGCTGATACTTCTTGAGTTGATGATAGGGTGGGAGAAAAGGATTTTGATGATCTGGTTTGCGGTAAATACATTCTAGATAATGTAGTATTTAAATCACCACAATTATAATGTTCAATTAATTGTTCTGTTGGACTACTGAATAAATTTGTCCGGTGAGTTGTTTCTGTGTTGAGTTTGTATGTAGGGTTTGATTTATTCGGCTATTCCATGTGTTCAATGAAACTTTATTGGCGATTGTATGATTGGAAACAAAGTTACTAAAATCATTGGAAGAATTGATAGAAATCTCTGTTAGTTGATTGATACTTTCCAAATTGTTCAATGTGATTTCAAGAGCAAAAGTCACCTAAGATGAAAACAGGAGTAGCTAAGATTGTCTAAATTGAAACCAAAACCATGAATTATTTCATGCACATTTTCCATTTGATAAATTTAAACAAAACAACAGACCTGCAGAATAAAATGACAGCATTTTATTCATCAGCTGTACATAAATTAAAATTTCCTATCTTAGTCAAGATAAATGTTAGTTTGCATGTTATTAACTCGATAATTTTAGATGTATAAAAATGCCAGGTGAACAGCTATTCAAGGAAAGATGGTTGATTAGCTATTGAGGAAATGCATAAGCCCACGGATAATCAATAACCATCAAAATGTGCTCAAAACTCACTGGATAGAAGGAAAGACATGTTGTAGCCTAAAAATGACGAATCACCAGTGTTGAGAAAGATTAATCACAGTCTCTTTTCGTTTACAAAAACCAAATTTAAGATGCCTGATTACAAGCACTACAGAAAGTTTGGTAGTTTTTGTCTATTCAGTATCTCAAAGGTTTCGAAGTTATCTTTTTGAGGTCAGGTTTCCGTCAGGTGCCTAACCTTTACACTTCCGAAAAATTTGCTCTCTTTCAAATACATTTCTTGGGATAACGTCATAAATAAAAATAATAATTAGGCGCTACTGAGTTTTTTCAGCCAACCAATCCATTTGCTTGATTTTTCTGCATAATCTATCTTACAAAGTTTATCGTTTTTTCCCCTGCGAACCAAAGACAATCAGATGACAAGTAGTTTAATCCTGTAATCACTCAATATTAAGGTAACTTCTGAGTTATTTAGTAGGCCGTATCGTTTTCGATTTCGTAAATGAAATAGTTATCTAGATAATGAAGGTTTAGTGCTATAATAAACTACCAACTGGTAATTAATGTTCATCTGTGACCACAATATAGTTTTAACATTATTTACATACTTTCACTTTGCCTATCAAGCGGCTGTGGGAAGCTGAAAATGAGATTTTATATCATTTAGTCTGGTGGAAATTAGGTGCTTATGTGCTAAGCAGTGAGGCACACTTGTGTGGTATCATGTGTCACTTTCTGGTTGCTTAGGCCAAAAAAGTCAGGTTGTTTTCGATTCCATGACCTTTTGGTTGAAAGTTGGATGTTTAAGCTTACACTTCACATGGATGCGACTATATATTTATATGATCATCAACCACACCACTTATTCCAAAATACTAAAGTCAGCATACTATGGAATAAACTTCGTTATACCTAGACAAATACCAAGCTGGTCCTAACAGAATAGTAAACAAACAATAACTAGCCAAATCAATGAGGCCAGCTTTCTTGGAATCCAACCACCTTGAAAATCAAAAGGGAGTTAAAAGCCGTCTTTGTTCGAAGGCAAAGCATAAATACCTACAGTTACTTTAAATGGCCTTTATGATTATTCTGGGGTACATATTTGTGTAGGAAAAGATTCGTAGGTGCATATATATATATATATATATATATATAATTCCACAAAGCATTCAGTGCTTTATTTGCTATATTCGTGACGAATACACTTGAAGCTGAAAGCTTTTATGGTAAGAAAAAGTTGAGAAATCTAGATATCGAAATCAGTGAAGACAAAGGCTTTACGAGTAAAGTATTTGCTTATAATTTTGTAAATCTTTACTAGGTTTCTTATTCTCTCTTCAGACTACATTTTAACAGTTTATTTTTCTGCATATCACAACTACAAGTGGTTGGGAGCTTCAAAATTTATTACAGCGCTTAGACATGAGGAGCTCTATTTTCAAATTTTTCAAACAACCGTAAAAGTTATGATACAACATCTAAATGTTTGGATTTGCTAGATTCGGAAGGATCATCAACCATGCCTTTAGTTGCAATCTCCAATTTGTAAAATATCTGCTTTTTTTCAAATTTTACGTAAGCATCTATTTCATTTCTTTTCATATTAAGTGACAGATTAACTACGTCACTCCTCTGCCGTTTCAATCATCATAAAAGTTCAGGCAACTGACAACCATCATCAGCGACGGCCTTCTTGAATTTCGGGCTACTAAAAGGTTTCCACTATATGTATTACATCAAATTGCTCCTTGTGTACTTGTTTTCATTATTCAAATGTCAACAAATCGTGAAACGTACTCTCGGGCATTCTTAAGATGTCTCCAACCTATCGTCATACAAGTTAACAGCAAAATTATAAAAATATCTCACGCTAGATGGCAGTGGGCTCTTGGGTGCACCACAGTTCGTCACAGCTATTACAGAAATAGTTCTTAAGAAGTGCAAATGTCGGCTGAATGATCCTTCACCACCAAACCTACGGATGCTTTCCTGTCGGCCACCCGTGCATCAACGTACCCACAAATTAGACAATCTAAGAACAACTGGTCGTTGTGTATTATTGCTTATCTAACTATTATTATTAAAATTGTTTAACTACCATGGTTATTTAGTATAATTGTTTCTATATCATACCGTCGTTGATTGGACCGAATTGATCGGTCTCTATTGGCATATGGGCTCCTGTGCGGATGCCTCAATATTACCTGTGTTTTAATTAAACTAATGATGGATCGTGGCTAGCAGTGGAATCCAGAATGCGTATTTCGTCCTATTTGGGACTCGGTGGGTACATTCAGCTGACGAGTCCCAAATAGGACGAAATACGCATCCTGGATTTCACTGCTGGCCACGATTCATCATTACTACCATGGTGTTTTTAGTTTGAAAATATTGTAAAGATCTAAATTTGTTAAAATATCACACTGACAATTTCATACTGTATTAAAAATTATTGTTTGGAATAAAGTGGTTATTGTTTTTAAAAAAAAGCATCATCAGTATTTAGAGTCAGTGAGCATGGGATACATTTTGCCTGTTCTGCTGACTGGAGGTTGTTGTTATGTTGTGCCTAGTTTATCAGCGGTTGCTTCAATCATCTTTAAGAATGGTTATTCTCAATTTCCTTGTTTTTTTTAAAGACATACTGAGACTGTCTATTTTAGCTTTAATTAGAAACTATTTCGTGTACTTCTTTTTATGTAAACAGATGCTAGTGAACCGTTCCAGCTCAGTGAATAACAGCAGTAGTGATGAGAAGATAAATACTTCGTGTTATGCAGATGCTCACATTCATTGTTGGTTTCGTAATATCAACAACTGCTTACTGTGTGCAATATAACAGTACAGAATCGCAGTCACTAACAAATAACAACTTGTAGATAGAAGACAGAAGGTGAGTGGACAGATTTGTCCTGATCTGAAAGCAAAATCTAGACTGTAACAAAAGTACTGTCAGTACAATTATTTACAAAGTAGTGTCTCGGGGTAATATTCCTCAAGGACTGACTAATTAGAGAACCGTTGAAAACTCGGTAACACTAGAGAGTTGTTTTGTCCTAGTATGGGACTCATGAGCCAAACTAGGATTTCCCACAATCTAGATTATCTTGTTAGTTTTTTTTCTTGATTTGTTTTTCCACACAGGAAGCATGAGAGCATAGGTAGCAATATCTATTGACTTATGCGGGAGATCAGACAACCTTGGTGCATTTCTCATTTGTCTGAGGTAGTGACTATAAAATCCACCCAAGCAACTGTTGAAATAAATAGTGAGATATTTGTATTTCTGCTAGAAAGGTGTTTCTTTTATCAAATAAAAAGAATTTAATAAATTATTTCAGTGAATATTAGCGTGGTTTTACCGTCACTCATATGACGTCTAGACTACCAATTAAACAAATTGACGTGTATGGGCTTTTTGTGGATTTTAATAGAAGTTGTGACTTAAAGCTCACGTCTTCACTAAATTTTACTTTTTTCACACACAGTTTATGTCATCATTCTTATCACTTTACTCCTAAATGTTTGAACTTCTCTTCCCTTTAAATAGGACAGACTTTAAAGGCCACCCTGGTAACAGCTATAATAGCCACTCAAGTTTCAGTGTTCCGACCAGAAAGGTAGTTTTTCACAAAATATCGGGCGACTTTAAACGTCGCCCTAGCAACAACTGAAACAATCAATAAGCCTTCTACATTTTGGTTGGAGAGCGGATTTTCATCAAATTATTATTATTATTATCTGTCCCTTGGGTTCCTAGTTAAACGTAACGCCTTAGTAGCACGTCTCCATTCCACTCTCTTTTCTGGAATCTTTTAAACCTGGCACCAAAAATGCCAAAAAGCTCTCATTCCTTCCTCACACCATCTCCTCTATGTCACCCACACCTCGGACGCCCAACTCACCGCCTCCCATCTGGGTCCCACTCGAGGACCTGGCCTGGCGCATGATGTCCCCAGTCGGCCTCCTCAGTGTATGCCCAATCCATCCAATCCATCTCCACTTACTTCTACATAATTGTTAAGCGATAGCTTCTTGGTTGGTTCGTTGTTGCTTATTCTTATTATTCTGACCATCTGAGCTTCAGTAACGAGCCAGAGCAGGCAGCTGTTGATCAGTGTTTGTAGTTTGTTGGAAATGCTTATCGTAACGCGCCAAGTCTCTCAACCATCATATAGAAACACTGACTCGACTGATATTAGTATTGAAAATCCGTATCTTGTCATTATGCTGAGTGGAGTGGAGTAGATCTCCACACTGGTTTCAGGTTAATGAAAGCCTGTCTTGATGTCTTTCCGATTCTGGCTGGCTTTGACGTCCTCGTTTGTGCCGCCGCCTGTAGTTGAAACGATGCTGACCAGTCGGGTAGTTGGAAGAGGCTACTTCCTTTAAGTTTCTCCTGTTCATGGTTATTGATGCTTGTTGTTGATGTTGGTGGCGTTGGTTGGGTATCTTCATCACCTCTGTCTTCTCTACGTTCACCTGAATGAAGTCCCGTCTTCGCTGACCTGCCTCACCTCTTCTGTCAACTTGTTAGTTTTTGCCTGTAGATCTCTAAGCCTGTGTAACATCGGCAAAATCCAAATCTTCTAGGGTCTCCTCATCGGTCAAACAACGTACACACACCATCTCGCTTCTCACAGTTTGTTGCATGATCCAGTCAACCACAATCAGGAAGATCATGAGTGATAGTAGACAGACGTCCTTGTCTCACACCTGTCTTCACTTCAAAGGCATCAACGGGCTTTCGATTGTGGATCACTTGGCATGTGGCGTCTTCATATAGCATAGCATATAGCTGTTGAATGAGGTTTATAAAGGCTTGTGGCACTAAAACTGTAGCGTTGAAGCAGTTACCTGCCAAATGACTTCTCGGTCGACACTGTCGAACGCCTTTTCAAAGTCGATGAAGTTGAGGTGAGGTGAAGAGTTGACTGCCATTCTCTGGTGTTTTCTATGATGATGTGTAGCGTTGCAGTTTGGTACACACATGATTTGTACTTCCTGAAGCCAGCCAGCTACCCTGTTCCACTGGAATTTTTTAATCAAGTGCATCCTTCAGTCTCTCCAGCAGCTTGTTCTGCTTCACTTGCTAATGTGTTGTGGAAGTGTCTTTCGTCTTTGCGTGCACTCTTCTTCACTTCTTTGTCCACTGTCTTATACATTGTACTCAGTTCATCTTCTCGTTGTTCATCCTTACACTCCACTGGTTTATCTTCTGCTTCACCATCCTCCTCTCCGTGCTCCATCACCTTCCATGTGTCCGTCAGAATCCATTCCTTATCTTCTTTCTTCTTCCTTCCTAACACGGTTATGCAGGTTTCTTTCCACCTAGCTTTCAAAGACTTCCAGTGTTCATCCACACAGGTTTCTTCAGGGATGTTCCTCGATATCTCCCATTTTGTCTTGATGGCCGACGTGAAAATGTCCCTTGTAATTTTGTCCTCCAGTTCAGTTCAGTTCAGTTGAGTTTCTGTTCTGGGTGTTCAATTCGAACTTCAACTGTGTGTGGTCTGTCACCAACTTCTTCTCCGAAGGCTCTCAACTTGATTTTGAAGGTAGGTTCCTTGCACCAGATAGTGTCTGGTCTGAACCTAGATCTGCTCCTCTCTCTCTCTTCTTGATCCCATCTTGTATCCAGTAGGCTGCGTCTCCACTCTATTCACATTGAGATGGAGTCGATCTGATTTCTAGTGTGTCCTGGTGTCTGGTGAAATCAAATCCATGTCGCTGCCTTGTGGATATCCTTGTGTTTGTACACACTGCATCACTCCAATCACCAAATCGCTGAATGCACAGAATTCTGCAAACAGTTCTCCATTCTCATTCATCACTTCACCAAGTGCCTCTCGACCCATGATGAATTATCTTCCTGTGTTGTCTGCTCCCAGTTTGACACTCGTGTCACCCCACCCATTAGAATTTTGATGTCACCATCTGAGATTTGATCTTGTTCAGTATTGACCGAAGTTGTCTGTAGAATTCCTCCTTCTTCTCTTCATCGGCATTATTTGTAGGTGCATAGAGTAGCGTAGCGTAGCATAGCATAGCATAGCGTTGTATGATTGTAACTTTCCTTCCTTTTGAGTTGAACCTGGCTGTCATGATCGTGATCCTGGAGGAGGAGATTGGTTCCCACTGTATGAGGGCCTTCGATAACTCTTGGCGACATCCTGATAGCCACTCCATAACTCAGTGTGTTGGTGGTTGTTGTCTGGGTGACAATATCGGAGTAGATTATTGACTCTCAAGTTGACAGTTTGGAGAGTTCACTTCCATTCCACCTGCTTTCGCAGATTCCTAACACTTCAATGCTATACCTTCTCATCTCGTTTGCAATCTGTGCAGCTTTGCTAAGTTCAAACATTGTGCGGACATTCCATGTCCTCATGTTTACTTTCGCTTTCTTCGAGAGAGAGAGAGAGAGAGAAGACACATCGGCCGACTGGCTTCCTGAAGGCGTTCACCAACTGGCGTCATCTCGTCTCCCAGATTCCGGTGAGGAATTAGTTCGTTTTTATTTTTCCTATTTTTATTTGTGCTTTGAGGTTTCTTTAGCGATTGATTGAATTGGTTTTCCGGGGTAGGGTTGCTAGCTTTATGCCCGACCTTCTTTGTTTACCTGGGGTTTGCACCGGTTAGTTCACTAGTGAACTAGTTAACCAGGCGAGGTTATTTTCATCAAATAGAGAAGTCTAATTGGTTATTTCAGTTGTTGCTAGGTTTACCTTTAACCTCATTCCTAAGCAGTGATACAGTATTCATTTATGCAGCGTAATTGCACTGATAATTCGTGTGCTATGGTGAGGATGGAATATGGTCTCATCTGTCAGTCATTTTCCATGAAATAATAAAGTATAAATAAAATTTAAATAATTACTTGAACACATTTTTTTTCCTGAATATATACATGTATATGCACACATTTACCTTATGAACATCTATCCGGTTCAATGGTTCGCATTGATCATTCACTTGTTCAACTGCACCATGTTGTTTGCCTAAACGTTGAGCTTCTTGTGCCAAAAATAAATCCAATACCGGTACACCACGATCGGATATTTCACCTCTTGTCAGGCTGTTTAGTAATAAGAGGAGCCATATAGGTCGTTTCTCTTTCCAATCTCTTGTCAGAGTTTCGTACAAATATGATGCATACACTTTTTTTTCTGGTTCAATCCACGAATCAATCATATACCGAAGGTTACTTAAGTATCGATCTAAGCGTACAATCAGATCGGGTTTAAGTAAATTTGCTATTGTTTCATTTTTAGGTAGTACTTGACAATCACTCAATTCAGATAGTGTGACAGGATTGGTTAAATCTAATTCAAAATATACAATATCCGACTGTGCAAAACTGTCTTTAACTACAGGATCAACTTGAGACCAAACATGTGTGTAGGCAACATGCAGTGTACCAAAGAGATAGGAAATTGGTTTGGTTGAAATTTCCCAGAGGAATGTGTTCTTTTGTTTTGATGTAGTCTGAAGAAAAAAAGTGAAACAGAGATTTAAATTAATTCTGAAAAATTCAAAAAGAGCAGATTCATACTACAGATTATCCAGTATTGGTTTATATCAAAACAGTTTCATAGTTTAGCCAGTTCATCCCCGTGTATGTTGACTTCTTTCATATTCAAAATTTGATTTTGTGAAGAAACACTTCTGACTGAGCATACTGGGATGTCAAATATATGTGTGTGATGAATGTCTATTTCAATTGGTGTGTTATGTAAATCTTCAGCGTTGTTTGTTTCTGTTTACTGCATATACAATAATGCAAACAATCCCGCTTATTGAGAATTGTAGCTTCGACATATTTAGTGGACTAGTTCAATTCGTGAAAATTCCATCATTGCTAACTAAAATACAAGGTCACTGCAATGGATCTCACTAAACTTGAAAACTTACTTACCTACTAAGAGTTTGCCACAGGAAATAGATTACTTTGAATACTTCGATGTGTTGTGTTTATCAAAGAATCTGCGTAGTGACAAAATACTTGCTCAACGTATTACTAAAATCGGTCGAAAAGTGTACAGTTTTTTGCTGAAGAAATCTTGTGTTTATTGACAAGCCAATTCTTCTTTCACACAAAAAACTTTGAAGTCTTCTAACAAATCATTTTCAGTTGACTTGTTCTGAAACGTTCGATAGAGCTCATTTGGATAAGTTTGTCAGTGCTACTAATCACAAGACTCGAGATCATATTCTTCAGCTTCAAGAGCGAAAACATCAAAATATGACTTTGTTGGCCAGTTACACACAACTTACCAACTGTCTAATAGACAGCATCGATATTCCGAAGCTTGAGAAGTAGCTGGTTAAAATACCCTGTTACACATCCCAAAACGGCAAAGATTTATGCATCACCTGCGAATATTTCATTGGTATTTATCTGACTCATTCCTCATCACAGTCTATTAGAATGCTGTTTAGAGTTCAGAATGCAATTGTCAATAGTAGGAAATTTCAAAAGCCATCTACCTATGAAAGATTACACTCAGGGAATAGCGAATTCACTTCATCAAATAACTCAAGGTAAAAGCGGACCAAATTGGACTTCAAAAATATTTTTAGTTTTCATAATACTATGTATTATTGATGTCACAAATCAAAGGCATACGTACCGTACTCAGAAGTTTAATTATTTGGGATACTCAGAAGGTTTCCCGTGATTTTCCTAGCGTACTGACTAAGATGGAATCATTATCTCTCTTAACAGTTCATAATGGTCAGGTTCATTCGATAAAAACTTCTAATACTGAGTCAGACAAGTCGATTCATTTACTATTGAGACTGGTATTGTAGAGTCGTTAACGTTTAGGGGAATTCACTGTTACTCTGTGATGATGTTCAGTTAAAATCCACCAATAGTTCAATTAAAAGTATAGATCATCATAAGTTATCTATTGTTGATAAAGCTAACATTCCTTTGAAAGCAGAAAGTGGTGGCTTTTCAAAAGTTCTTTTCTGTAGTAGCGAATATGATCCGTTTGAACTGGCATTATAGGCTCTTGGATTATTAAACGTTCAAATATCCTTGTTCACTCACTCATTTAACGAATCCTTGCTGGAAGAACTAATATTACATTGTCCACAGACTGTAGGTAGCATGAATATTCATTTCATAAGCCTGGAAACAGAGGGAGATACTTTTTGCAGAAATGTCAAAGGATTCCAAATGGTGTAGGAGATTCAGTTAGGAAAGAAGAGAATGATTTCTTCGAAAAAAGCACACTTATATCACTTTGGACTTCTTTATTTATTCAGATATATTTGGCATATATCTTTGGTTTAATACAGAATGCACGAAAATCAATAACTGTAGCAGAATCAATCATCAGATGACAGTCAACCTAACTGTCAATCCCTGAGGGATAATCGAAACTCATTTTCATCACGTTTGTAATGTGACCACTGAGCCGGGTAATGTAACAATGTGGCGCACTATATTTTAGTGCCAAATTCGTGAACAGACACAAAATGGATCACTTTTGAAGTGTAGAGCTTATTAGGTAAATATTAGACATCATTACTAGATTATACAAGTTGGAATCTCATATGAACCATAAGTTGCCTCTAGACTGCGAAGAAGTCTCTAACTTCAATGATTACCTTAGGTGATGAATTTGTGCACAGTTATAAATACAAGTGGCATATCATAGGTTCTCCTATCAGCGCTTTTTAAGTTCTGTAAACAGCATATCTTACTAACTGTTTGCTGATTAATATTTCGGTTGCTGGTACTGAAAACTTGACTCGTTTACAGATACTGTTTGTTAGTAGTCTACGTCGTCATAGATATAAAGGAATACAGGGTTCATTTGTTAATCAGAACTAAACACCAACACGTTACACACTATAACTAAAATGTATACGCTTACATGTTCACGGTTAATTTATTTAGTTAACTTACACCATTGAGTAACGTGAACTGTATGTTCATTGTGGTTGATGGTGAAACTAATCTTGTTTGGTTTCACCTCATTGGCTTTACCTCAACTGCAAGGTGAATGTAGTGCGTTTATTTTTCAGGCATAAGTATGAGTAGTTGACACACAACTAAGTTGAGCAGATTGCCAATCAGAATATATTTTTTTTAATAATGTACACAAACTGTTCACAACCACACACAAATGTATATGCACACACGATCTACACAAAGTGTATAAAGTAGTCTCTGATTTAAAAAACAGCGATTTCGAATCAGCTATTGATACTTATGTCATTCACAGTAAATATGTTTACAATTTCGTTTTCTTTGTTCTCATTCGTAAGCGAGAAATGTAGCGAAAAAAAGTGTTACAAAGTAGCTGATAGTTCAAAATGGACAACGTATGTATGCGTTCACATACAAATGCGTATATGTATAGCGACACTGTTTGTATAGACAGAAATTTGTTGCAAAACCAAAGCTTTGCTCTTTCATTATTCAGAGTTGAATAGCAGTGCCAGAAATAAACATTAGGGACTAGTTCCCTTACTAGGTCAGTTTAAAAAACACCATCTGATGTCAAATGTTGTGCTGGTAAATTATATATATATATATATATATATATATATATATATATGCACAGGTCAAAGATTCCCAGGAGATTTAACAGTTTTTTTATCAAGACGAACAGATAGGCCGATAACGAGGGATTTGTTGTGGAAAAGTACGCAATAAACATATTTTCTCAGCTTCATCTCCCGTCACTACAAACGAAATCTAATAAGAACTCTGAGTCACAGGATAAAGGCCATGTTCAGAGGATACATATGAGAAGGAGCTGACGACTTTGCACAACATATTATTCGAAAATGGCTATCCTGATAAATTCATAAAGAATGGTAAGAAAGGATACTCCAACGGCTAGCAGGAAACCACCACACTTTCGGGTACGACTTAGCGGCGACGTGCTCAACGAGATATTAATTCACAAGTTACACAGATCAGTTCAGAAAGCTATAAGTGCTGGCAAATCATAAATTTCGTTTCCATACTCCCATTGGTGACACCGAGACTGAAAGATAAATTGCCAACACTGGCCACTTCCTGTTGTCTTTATGTGTTGAACTGCTCCTGTAGAACCAGTTACGTCAGCCGCTGCTCCAGAAATTTGGTTTTTCGGGCTCGCGAATATCTCCCGGAGTGGCTAATTATATATTTGGTAGAGACCATTAAAAACTCCATACTGGCACACTATCCTCCACCAGGTCCTTCAGACTGCAGAATCAGTAGCAATCAGGATCAAACAACCAGAATTATGTACTCAAAAAGCGAGTGTTGCCTCTACAACTACTGCAGCCCGATTTAGGACGCACAAATTCATTAGCATCCTACCCCAGATAATCTAACTCCATACTGTAGATACCTCTTCTTCTTATTTTATTTCATCCAACACTTATAAGCACCTTCCTATTGTTTTATTAAACTATCACCTAAGCCGTATAGTCATTCAGATAATCAGTTATTTTGAATTGAATTCTAGTAACAATTGATCTTATCATTAACGTGCACACAAGACTTTTCTGAATTGATTTCCTCAACAAATTATTAAGCGAAATCTCAATATTACTGACGTATATTTCCTCACTATGTACATATAACTGTAGGACCTAAAGAAGTTATCGAAAAGGATTATCTTTGTCCACTCAAATGGTTTTTGAACTATCGTAGGAGTTTTAAATGATATATATAACTCCCAGATTATTACAGTAGTTTCTATTCAGTGTTACTTTTATCATCGACAAATTTTAGTGGTAGATGAGAAACCGACTGATCATAAGTCACAAGTGAAAACTTAATACCAGCGATGACACTGAATGAATTACATTTTTACCTAATAATCAGTTGGCTGAAATCAGAAAATGTGTGCAGTTGAATTCAAATAAGGTAACTGAGCAATACAGTATGCATCACCAGACCCGAATTTCCTGTGCCAATTCCCATGTCAAGTTAGGGAGTCCTAGGAGAAGGCAAAAGAACCCTCCAATAATTCCCGGTTTATTAAGATTCCGTAGATGAAAACTATTTCTGTATGGTCAAGACTATTTAAATTAGGATTTATTTTTTGACTTCTTCCTTATCACCGAAATATACGCTAACATATGTTTCATACATGTAAATTCTAGACTTTTATATGTACTTTTCCACTTAAAACCAACAATATTCCTACAACATGTAAATCGTCCTAACTGCACAGTGTAGTCCATTTATCCCTAAATATCATGTAATAAATACTGGCTGATTATCTGTCATCTACTGAAAAGTTAGCCGATTAGTTCACTTAGAAATTCAAACTTCTGAGTAACTGGGATAAAGAATAGATTACGGCGGGACTAAATGAACTTTTATATCTGGAAATATCTCTTGACAGAACTATAAGTGAAAGTTTCTGCTTGGCTACTTTCAATCCTACGGTTAAACATTCATGGGAAGGATCTTCAACACCTACCTACATGACATTTTCATTGCAACCTCTCAAGTAACTTCCCCTACCTCGATATATCCCTAAATATATTCCATATATTTCAACCAAACCAATCTAAAATATTCAAATAAAATGTGTTTGCTAAAGTGAAATATCGATGGTCTACAAGTTCATATGTATTGAGCAGTGAGACAATGAAGGCACTACATACATCAGTGAACTTATGTTCTGTGAACCAGGAGGTTGTAAACAAAGTTACTCAACGCTTACTAATAGTCACTTTCCTAAAACGCACAGGTTTCAAAGTTCACTCTGATTAATGAATATACTTACAAAAATGTCTGTTAATGATAACCTAATGAAACATCATGTTCAGTTGTTTATTCTTAATTCAACATATTCATTAGACAGTACTTTCTAAAAGCTTTCGACACAGGTTAGCGCAGTGTAAAACAAAAGAAACGCAAGGTTATCACAGAATTCCCAGTAAGCTTATGACAGTCTAGCTTATAGTATTAGGCAATTTTTAGTATTTTAGTCAGCAATAAATTTCGCACGAACTGAACTATCCAGTGAAGAATAGACAGTAGCCACGAATTTAGCAATTTGCAATTTAGCAGGCTAACACTTCACAAAATTATTCTGAATGGAAGAAGTAATCCTTAAAATGCATGTGAACGACTTCCGAAATATTACTTATTTAAACAACTGGTTAATTTAGAGTGGCTGAGATATTCAATTTCTGCTGGAATGAAATGTCGTTTAGATATCACTCCATCCAGCATTTTATTCACTTCAGTCTTGACCGCTGTTTTGTGTATGTTGACATGGGTGGTTTTCATTTAAACAGGCTTATTTACAATTCTTTCAAAATAAATCACCGTGAGCTCTTCATCTTCTATAAAATATGTTACTGAAGATTGAAAAACACTGTATATTACTTCATTTGAGGAATTCATGGATAGTGTTCTGATATCTTTTGAACCTGAAAACATTTTTAAAATTTATATGAATTTACCACACCTGATGAATATGAGATATGCAAGCATGAACTTAAATAAGTTCTAATTTAAAATCTACAAATTACATGCCTATGATTTCTTCTATAACTGTCAGCTCTGTGTTTAAACGTATATGGTTCAAGTGGTTTACCAAACTTGTTTTTAGTTTGGTAATCAAGCTAAATAACGTCACACTATGATGGATTGTATTTTAGTCTTGAACATTAGGTTTCAGTAAGCAGGAAGAAATGAACCTAAGCTTTGTCTGTTTGTAGTAGTAGAAGCTGTAGTTCATTGGCTTAAGTATATGACTTTCAGTCATTAGCACCAGGATTTAAACTTTGCTCTACCTAATTTGGTCTGGGAAGCTGGGTAGTACCACAATCGCATGCCCATCAGGAGCCGTTTATATATCGTTTATTATGCTGCCGAATTGCATTGGTTATCAAGTGCAGTCTTGAGGAAACTCATGTTTCATTTATAATTCGGTCCTGTGTTGTTCAGTGTTGTGGCTTGATTTGAACAGATTAGTGGCAAAGTCTCTGACAGGTTTCAGATTTAACGAAACTATGTCTCGGAACATGTAGCTAGTCACTGCCTGACGAATGATACAACAATCAAATTAACGATTCTTTTCAAAGACTGGTACAAAGAAATAGCGTGAAATATTTTAGGAGCGGGAAACTACTAAGGCTAAATAGCAAGTAAGGATAATTTCATTTAGCCATTTACGTAGTTCAGTTAGTGCAGAAGCTGTACAACTCTGTGTTCATAATAAAATCAGGCAGCTTATCATTACTGTTCGAATGCAGCCAGGAAGTAGAGAGAAGCGTAGGGATTCGGACATTCATTTTGATGCGGATCGAGACTTGTCAGCGGTGCATATCGACAGATGTCAGTACACCAGGTTACCTTATGGATATCGTGATGGTTTCCAAAAGGTTAAATTCTTCCACTTTTGGGAGTCCTGAATTTTCTAATCGCATCTTGATCCCCGTTTGTGATCTGGTTGACCATATAAGTTGTGAAACCTGTTAGTGTTTCCCTCAGAAACCTAGAAGACAGGAAGTAAAGTGTCTCCAACGGTGCTAATAGTGCATACCTTATAAAAATCCTAAACTAGGTACCGGCTTTAGTTTGTTTTTTGCAGTTTTGTAAATTTGTCTGACTAACTTCAGTCTACAATGCCATCAACCCTGAAACGAATCAATTCATTACAAACGACTAACTAATTTTAGTGTTTAACAATTCACGAGAAGCACTTTGGAATACTTACATGTATATGTTTTAAAGCTTATTCATATTATATAAGACATTATGAGCACTTGCTTCCGTAGAAACCTAATCATTAGTTATGTCGTTTGTTTAAAACTGTTGGTGATTACCACTGAACATTAGAGACCTATGTTACTGGATCGAAGTTTCAGTTAAGATCACCACTTTCCGTAGATGACCTTCAATGTGGAACAGTGTAATTTAAAAGCAACTAGCTATTATGGAATACTGACATAGCTATTTTCATAGCCTGTCCTCTTCACCGTGAAGCATCACTTAACTCTGTTTTAATCAAATTCACACTTACAGGCTTTTTACTATGAAATTTTTTCATAAAACCCATCTTTCATCGCAGGATAAGTTATATGTAACCGTTCAGTTAAAGTGGAGTTACAGAATATATCTGCATGCGTTTGATTTTCATTAATTTCCCCAGTTTTATTTGTAATAACTAGCATCTTCAGATTTTAGAGGAAAATGGAAAAGCAGTTTTAATTTCTCAAACTTTTCTTCCGTTTTTCGTGTGGATAAATAATATGTAACTCGTTTACCGTCACACTGGACGCTCAGTCAAGCCTTATTTTCCCAATTTAGGCAACGCTGAAACCGCAGAAGTGTGTGATTGTTGATTATGAATAAAGATGGTGAATGAGGTTTAAAAACCCAAGTTTTGATAGTATAACTGCATCCGTAATCTTACTGTCGCAATGATAGGCTGGAATTTCAAACTAGGGGTTGATGCATACTACTCATTTATAGTGAACTAGGTAAAAACAGTCGTACATTATTTCTTTGGATTTCAGAAATGGATGACATCTGAAAAGCATTTTCTCCTGCTTTTATTCATTGATTACTTGTACTTCATCCAAACTAAAATAACCTATGGAAATTCTGCTTGGTGGCTAGCAGGGGCATTCGGGACATGCGTTTCCTCCAATTTGCGACTGACCAGCTGGATGTATCCGCACCCTGGTGAGTGATGTTGTTTCCACTGAGACTCAGACCCAGCACCCATCTCTTCAAAGCTCAACAACAACTGCTACCCGTTGCACAGGAGGTGACTTTCGTCCCCCGACGGCCTAACACATAAAGTTTTGGTGCTTGAAGCGATGGATACTGGGTTCGAGCCTCGCTTGGAACAAGATCGCTCACTGGAGTGCAGATGCATCCAGCTGACGAGTCCCAAACAGGATAAAATGCGCTTTCTGGATACCGCTGTTAATCACTAAGATGAAAACAACATCATGAGTATCCGGTAGTATCGAAACATCTTCATAGGTGCCTATCTCCCAACAGAATTCGAGCAATCCAACTCATTGTAGCAACAGGAGATTACAAGTATCACACAACAAAGACCTATGGAAAATTCAATCAAAATGTATATTCCCTATAATTTCATTGGTGATTTTTTTCCTCTGATTCCTCCAGAGTTGAATAGGAGTATGAAAATAATTTATTTACTTAGTTATAACCATAATTTTAATTAACTCTACTATGTGTTCATATATTATGGCGAAATATACACAATAGGGAAAATCTCTTTAAATTTCTACGTTTGTTTATTCATTTAACAAAGCAGATGGGTTGTTAGTCAATCTTTTCTTTGTTGTATTCATCAATATGTTTATTATAGAGTGAATTTCAAAGAAATCTTTTACTTCAGTAAACATGTAACTACGCAAAGGGGAGAATTCACATTGGAATTGAAGTGAATTCGTAATTGTTGGTGAACTTTTAATTTATTCAATCACCTTCGTTTATTTATCGCCACGAGATCTGTTCATATCAGAATTAACCTCTCTTCCCACAGGCATTGTATATTTTTCTGTGTGCTTACTTTACTTTCTTAGTTCTGTGCAGAATTAATACAACCAAGTGATATTCAATGTTCAAGTGTATATCAATAAAAAGCTTGTGCATTGTGAGATGAGATTTCCTATTATTAACAAATTTAAATTAGATGTCTACAAAAGGGTCAATTTTTCCAGTCTTGGAAGAACTTCGAGCATAACTAATGTTCGCGTTCCAGCCAACATCTGGAATTTTACGTATATGATCGGATAGGATAAGCCTATACGAAAGAGACTTTGAAAACTATTCACAGTTTTCAATAATTTCGTGAATAAAGTAATGTTTCAATATATAAACCCTTAAAAAAAGGCTGTCAATTGAAAAAAGTATAAAATCACTGAAATATAAAATAAAGTATTGGTATTGCGGTGTTAATTCTTTGAATTCCACCAACCAGATATATTGACATGAGTAAACCTGGTGACAGTTAAACTGCGAAAACAAATCCAGTGGAAAGGATGAGACATTAGCCTTTCCGACAATTAATATACATAAAAGCGAAAAACGATACCTTTCTTCGTCGCATTCCGAAGCGAATTTCAATCACGGGATGGTAACAACATCTACATAACTAACGGAACTTCTAGTGTATTGTAACCTCGCCTGGTTAACTAGTGCCCTAGTTACTAACCGGCCATAAGTCCGGGTAAAGAGGGAAGCTAAAGCATAGGGCCAGCAACCCTATCCCGGAAAACCAATTCAATCAATCGCTAAAGAAACCTCAAAGCACAAAAAAATAGGAAAAATAAAAACAAACTAATTCCTCACCGGAATCTGGGAGACGAGATGACGCCAGTTGGTGAACGCCTTCAGGAAGCCAGTCGGCCGATGTGTCTTCTCTCTCTCTCTCTCTCTCTCTCTCGAAGAAAGCGAAAGTAAACATGAGGACATGGAATGTCCGCACAATGTTTGAACTTAGCAAAGCTGCACAGATTGCAAACGAGATGAGAAGGTATAGCATTGAAGTGTTAGGAATCTGCGAAAGCAGGTGGAATGGAAGTGAACTCTCCAAACTGTCAACTTGAGAGTCAATAATCTACTCCGATATTGTCACCCAGACAACAACCACCAACACACTGAGTTATGGAGTGGCTATCAGGATGTCGCCAAGAGTTATCGAAGGCCCTCATACAGTGGGAACCAATCTCCTCCTCCAGGATCACGATCATGACAGCCAGGTTCAACTCAAAAGGAAGGAAAGTTACAATCATACAACGCTATGCTATGCTACGCTACGCTACGCTACTCTATGCACCTACAAATAATGCCGATGAAGAGAAGAAGGAGGAATTCTACAGACAACTTCGGTCAATACTGAACAAGATCAAATCTCAGATGGTGACATCAAAATTCTAATGGGTGGGGTGACACGAGTGTCAAACTGGGAGCAGACAACACAGGAAGATAATTCATCATGGGTCGAGAGGCACTTGGTGAAGTGATGAATGAGAATGGAGAACTGTTTGCAGAATTCTGTGCATTCAGCGATTTGGTGATTGGAGTGATGCAGTGTGTACAAACACAAGGATATCCACAAGGCAGCGACATGGATTTGATTTCACCAGACACCAGGACACACTAGAAATCAGATCGACTCCATCTCAATGTGAATAGAGTGGAGACGCAGCCTACTGGATACAAGATGGGATCAAGAAGAGAGAGAGAGGAGCAGATCTAGGTTCAGACCAGACACTATCTGGTGCAAGGAACCTACCTTGAAAATCAAGTTGAGAGCCTTCGGAGAAGAAGTTGGTGACAGACCACACACCGTTGAAGTTCAAGTTGAACACCCAGAACAGAAACTCAACTCAACTGAATTGAACTGAACTGAACTGAACTGGAGGACAAAATTACAAGGGACATTTTCACGTCGGCCATCAAGACAAAATGGGAGATATCGAGGAACATCCCTGAAGAAACCTGTGTGGATGAACACTGGAAGTCTTTGAAAGCTAGGTGGAAAGAAACCTGCATAACCGTGTTAGGAAGGAAGAAGAAAGAAGATAAGGAATGGATTCTGACGGACACATGGAAGGTGATGGAGCATGGAGAGGAGGATGGTGAAGCAGAAGATAAACCAGTGGAGTGTAAGGATGAACAACGAGAAGATGAACTGAGTACAATGTATAAGACAGTGGACAAAGAAGTGAAGAAGAGTGCATGCAAAGACAAAAGACACTTCCACAACACATTAGCAAGTGAAGCAGAACAGGCTGCTGGTAGGAGAGACAGAGACCTGACAACATTGTATCAAGTAACCAGGCTGCTCACTATCTGAAAGGAAAGAGATCAACACACATGAAACCAATAAAGGATGATGAAGGAAATCCAATTAGCAGAGAAGAGAAACAAGGAAACGATGGTCTGACCACTTCGAAAAGCTCTTGAATCGACCACCACCTGCATGCACTTCGTCGAGAAATACCACCTGCAACCCAACCACAGAACTACCAGTGAACACAAGCCCTCCAACGAAAGTTGAAGTTCTGAATGCCATAAAGTTACTGAAATGCGGGAAAGCAGCAGGACCAGATGGAATCCCGCCGGAAGCACTGAGAACAGACGCAGAGACAACAGCGGACGTGCTCACGCTACTACAGCAGAAGATTTGGAAGGGAGGAAGGAAGGAAGGAAAGGCACCTGTCTGTCGATTGGAAGAAGGGCTACCTTGTCAAACTCCCGAAAATAGCCCGGGGGGTGGCGACCTAAGTGTTTGCATGAACTGGCGCGGAATCATGCTCCACCCCATGTGAACTGTGCAGGCAGCAACTGTTCTTGGGAGTCCTTATCCGACGTGGGAAGTGCTCGTCGAAGTAGTTTAGTCAGCTGCATAGCCAATACCAGCGGATCTTCGTCTATCCTCAGTTTCATGCTCCGGAACTGTTGAATAACCAGCTCCCTATCCACTGGGTTGTCAAACTCCGCTTCCAGGCGTTCAACCATTTTCTGCCAAGTCTCCTTCCCATCTCCACGTTTCATGCCGTTATACGCTACTTTCGCTGTACCCCTCAGCAACGTGCCCAACATCACGACCTGCACCCCTAGATCCCGGACACCCACCAGCTCCACGACCGAGTGAGAAAGACCTTGATGTCTCTATCCTCAAACACTACAGGCCATGGGATCTTCGTCACGTCCAGAGGCAGCAACACCAATTCAAAGAAGCAAGATGATACGAAGGAAGGAAAGTTTATCGTCAACCTGTGGGACAGTAGGTGTTAAATATGGTGCACGTTGCACTAAAACTGTCATTTGCAAAATGTGCTTTGTTTCCTCTTTTGCTTCTATCTTAATTTGCTCCTCATACGCCTGCGTTGTCTCTTGAGTTTTTCTTGGCAGAATCCTTACCCATTGCTGGTAATTCCCTATGACTTCTGCCACCCTCTGAACATATACTACTTATATCCATTCTTATCAGCAACGCCCGCTACAAAACTATGGTTCTATTAGGCTGATGCTAGTAAATACTACATTGCATGAACCAGACTTTTTAATGAAATTTGAGAATGGCACATAATACAGCCCAATAAATAGTGAACAACAGACTTGTATCACAGCAAATATGAAACTGACAAATACAAGAGAAGATTGTATTAGATATTTAAGGTTAAAAAGTAAGTATCGCCATTTGTTTATTTACCCGCGCATTACTGAGGAATCATGTTCTATCTTAAGCGGTGGTTCGTTAGTCTAGACAGTGACAAGTAACGGTTTCGAACTTCACTGCACCGACTAAGATCTAACCATTCAGCTGGAATTCTCACTCATCGCGAAAAAGTTGTGGCTTATTGCCTAATGTACAAATCTAGTTAGTTGGTTATACTTTTAGGACCCAGAAGGTATAATATGAAATCCTGCAACGAAATTCATGGAAATGGGAAATCTCAGTTTTTGCATCTGAAGTCATAGTTACCTTG